TTTGCGAATCTCTTACCCATTTTTGTTCATTAGTTCTAAACACTTTCTATCGTCGTCCATCTTTCCTGCTCATTCTTCTATTTGTTGAATTGATTTATTTCCTTGATTTGTTGTTATGATACCTTTAGTTGCTATGCCTTTGTAATACCAATTCCATAGTCAACACTTGTATGGTAATTTTTCCAGGCTTTAGAATTGCAGACAACAGTGATGGAGATTATGGAAGCTGCTGATTTAGAGAAGCAGAAACATAATAATACTCAAATGGAAGCACTTGTGAGATTGTCAAAACTCGAGGTAGTTCTATGATTTCTTTAATTTAGATTTAGGCTTTGGCTCTATAGTTGACATCTTATCAGGTTTTAATTTTTATCCTTTATTTGTTGTTGTTGTTTTTAGTCTTATTATTATTATTGATAACAGTGTGTTTTCTCATTGCTTTTTGTATTTTGTAGACTGCGAATGTTAACCTTGCTAGGTCTCTTGCTGCTATATAGAAAAATCTTGAAGTAGAGGTACCTGAAAACTTCTTTAGTTGGTTTTTGTGTTGCTTTTTTCTTTGTTCTCTCTTTCTTTCTCTTCCCCACCCTTTTTGGTTTCTTGTCTTTCTTTTTACTTTTCCAATGATTGTTAAATGATCCTTAAATACCTTGAGAAAACTCTAGACTAAAGGAAGAGCTGGATCTCTTTAATTATGTTTCTTTTGTTCATGCTTGTTTTTAATTTTTGCTCAGTAGTTAAGTCTCATTAAGTGAGTCATTTATTAGCACATTAGGAAGTTAGTGTTAGTTGTTCAATTATGTTTCAAAATCAAGCTCGTGAAATGCTTGAACTGAAATTGTACAATGGCTTCTATATGCTAGAGTGATAGCAAATTGATTTACTCATGATTTTGTGCATGGGTGGACAGGTTGATCGTATCACTGCATTTTGTCAAAAGATTCAGTTGAAAGAAGGAACTCATGAAGATGTGCTTTCTGTATCTTAATTGGGAAGTGACTTTAGTTTCTATGCTTCTTTTTTTAGTTCTTGCAGTGTGTGCACCTATGTATCCGTGCCAAAATGACTTGTCTGAATGTGCCCTTGGTAACCTAGAGGCTTGTCACTCCAAAGAACTTGCACTATTGCACATCAAATCTTGTTTCTTGGCCAGAGACCATTTAATTTTCTTTTTCCAATTTTCCTACACTTCATATTTACTGCACAGAGCTGTTGTCTTTTTATTTTTGTTTCTAAGGATTCCACATTTTCGTGTTTTTTTATATCTCCGAAGTTTAGTATTGAACATCATATGAGAAATATTATATTTAATTATTGAATACTTGTCATCTCGATTGATTTTTAATGACTAATTAACTATAAATACATGGCTGAACTCATTTCAAATGCTAACGATGCCTACAATATAACCAAACCCATACATCGGACGGGTAAAAACTAGTTATAACTTAAAAATACGTGTTCCAATGCACTCTTCTTGCACAAATTTGAATTTCAGTCAGATTCTTCTTACATTTTTTAGTAAGATAATGCTTATAATATTTGAAATAATATTATAGTCCATTTAAAACCGCATTTAGTTAATATATCACATTGTTCACGTAAATTACCTAGGCCTCGTGCGTTTGCAAACGTCTTGATTAAACACTTTTGTGACATCTGTAAATGATGTTACTAAGTTTTTTTTTAATCATCAAGTTTCAATATTTTTCATCCCCTCTAAGAACAAATTCGGGGGTAGCGTAAATCTTTTACAAGTACAATATGTTATCAAGAATAAATTACAAACTCACTACTTCGTAAAATGACTTATTCTGAAGAACGTGTTTTGGTCACTCTCCAAATGAGTGACATACGACTTCAAAACTAAATTATCCACAAGATTTTACTCATGGAAGTCGGCAGTCCACACACATTGAAATGTGGTTTAAAGTGTACGAGAAACACCTTAAGTTTTCTATCGAGAAATTTGAGCTTGCCAGTAGGTTAAAGCGCGACATAGACGATAATACAAGTTTGTAAGAATAGGGTGATTGCACGATAAAGGATGAATATTTCAGACAGAATAAGAGAATATTTAAAAAAGACGTTGTTAAGGGATAAAATCTTACATCGAATAAAGATGTAAACATAAACCAACTTATAAAGAATTGGGTTACTCCTCTTAACAAAGTTGACCTTGGTATCAGAGCCTGTTAAACTCTAACGAGCAATTTGATCCGGTTAAGACTCTAAAAGTGAGCATACAGATTTCAAGATTGGTATACTCTAACGAGCCACCATCTTGATCCTACATCGAATAGAGATGTAAACATAAACCAACTTATAGAGAATTTGATTACTCCTCTTAACAAGGTTAATCTTTTAAGATGAAACCCCAATTCTTAACAGACGTTGAATGAACCTTCAGAAATTTTCCACAATCTATACCGAACGATGATGTCGTCAAACTTGGAATTTTGTACCTAATTACCATATTCATGTTCACCACTATGAAGCCCAAGTTGGTATCGAAAGCCACCATGTGCCTTGTCGACTCATCGAAACTGGACAACTTTTTGTGGGAAATGAATTATTTCAGATTATGTGCATGTACCTGAAGCTTACCCTCGCAAGGCCAAACCTGAACGACGGTAATACGAAGGGAACTCTATTGTTCAAACTGCAGGGTTTTCCAATTGTATTTCAGATTTGGATTTATAAGTGTATCCCATCACTATTTGGGAAAGTATATACATGAGTCGACCGCAATTCACACCACATCATAAACTGAAGCACTTCTAAATTTCGCGTCGTCTGCATACATTTATAAGATATTGTCCGAAGAGAAAAAGGTATGTATAGAATATCTATGCAATCCCTTTACATAAATATAAACCAGATTTGTTAATTTATCTGTATATCGCATCCAATGATCATTATAATGTATCAATTTATGTTTTCTATCCAGGTTAAAGTTGTAGTTCTAGTTATATCAGACCAAGAGAAGATTATTGTTTACTATTGGAGGTTGTTATACGGGAGTGCATAAGGATACCCTCCTTAATTTCTTTTGGTGAAGATCTTTTGGGACAATTTGATTCAGTGAGTAAAAGACCAAAACTTCGTGAGCTTTTCGAATCTAACCTTTGTCCCATGTTCAAGCCACATTACCCTTGTTGCCACAAAGCTGAGGAAGGTTCGTAGTTGTTTAACATACAAAATGGATTTCATCTATTATTTCTATCCTTGTAAATTGATATCCTATATTTTTTTGACATGGTGTTACCAGATGCACATCATTAGGGTGTTACAAGATCTTATGAACCAAATGCTCAAACAACTACCAAATCAAACTCGGATGATATACTTCCAGTCTAATATAAAAATTGACATTCTTTGGCTGAATGTAACGTTGAACATAATTACGACGCCTTACTAAAAGAGATGAGGGCAAAGAATCATTGTATGCATGGTAATGATATACCCTGCATCAAAGGGGCTAGATACATTAAAAGTGAATGTATCCAGTTATAAACAATTTATAACCATTTGTGAAAATATAGTTTTTTTCTTATGTGAAACACAGTTGTATCTTTAATCCAACTTTAATTCCATTTGTGTAGTATGTTGATGGTGATGGAAGGTCAGTTTCACAAATGTACGTTCCAATATCTTCATGGCCTATCATCAGTTCCTTGCTAGTGATGAATTGTTCACCGAATAAAACAAGGGAAGTTGTCATATTTGAATCTGCAGCTATTTTGAATAAAATATCAATTTCACCTGAATTATCTGATGATGTTAACTTCACTCAGGAGGATCTCATTTAGGTTGATGAGATCATAAATAATGCAAATTTGTTGAAAGGAAAGTCTGCATCGAAGGTGTTAAGATACCCATTACAATTCTAGTCATTAACAACACAATCATTTGTTCACGTAACACCATGTCACTACAACAAAAACAGCCTATAGCAACGTTCAAAAAACGTTGTCGTAGACCTACAGCAATGTTTGGACGTGTGTTGCAAATCGAGGTATTTTCGTAGAGTAGAGAGATACGACAACGTTTTTCGAACGTTTTCGAAAGTCTTCGACAACGTTTTTTGAACGTTGCCGAAAGTCTTCGACAACATTTAAAAAACGTTGCCGTAGAGATACGACAATGTTTGGCAAACATTTGCCATAGGCTGTCTTTCGCAACATTTGTCAAACGTTGCCGTAGGTTTTTTTTTTTTTTTTAACAATAACAATTTATACAAATAGATTAGCAAAATTGAAAATGCAACTTATGAACAAATTTTGGAATTGCATAAAAATTGATAATTTCATTACAAATTTCTGAATCCATACACTTGAACATTAGAATGAGATACAACGCCACTTAAATAAAAAGAATGTTCAAAATGAAATAAAATGGTAAG